AAGATTTTATTGCCAATCTGTTTATTATGTATTAAAAGTAGATGAAAACAAATCACTGGCTTCAATTCAAATGTATGTGCAGTTCATTTGACTTTTAAGTTTAAGTTATGTAGTATGACATTTTTATGCAAGAAACATGCTGCAATTAGAAAAAATTACAATACATATTTTTATTATTTTTAATACACAAGATAAAACACCTACTTCAAAGCTTGACTTTCAAACTGCTTGCTCTGGGCAAGAAAGAATAAAATACACTTCTAAGTTTTTGGGGTTTGTTTTTTTTTTACAACTTTCTCTCCTTTGTTACAAAAACAGACAGAAAAATATAAAATACTTTTGCATTCTACTTTTTGTTTTCCTTTGAACTTTATGTCATTCTAATTTTGGTAAAGGTAATGACTTCTTTTCTTATGAAGCTTCATATTTTCAAGTTCAGTTATTACTTTTAAACCATTCTTTCCAATAATTATTATTATTATATATTTAAAAAGTCAGCCTGTATTAATTGATACTATGAACAAACATGTTATTTGTATAGAGATATTTTTTAAAAATGTATTTTATTAATTTTAATTAACATTTACAGAGATTTTGGATTTCCATTCATATTCATTGTTGTAAACTGTAATTTTTAACCATCTATCATATTGCTGTCAATTGGCCCAGTGGTGAGAATCTTTGTCTTCTTGATTTTGAGCTTCAATCCGTATAGAAGACTGTATTCCTTGATCTTCTGCAGCAAATGTGCCATCTGCATAACACAGGTTGTTGATGAATCTTCCTTCAATCCTGATGCCACTTTCTTCCTCATAAAGTGCAGCCTCCCAAATGATCTGTTCCTCATACAGCCTGAAAAATTATGGAGACAGGTCACATCCCTGACGTACTCCTTTCCTAATTTTTAATCATACAGTGTTTCCTATCTCTGTTTTGATGACTGCTTCCTGGTCCAAATACAGGTTTTGCAAGAGCACAATCAAGTGTTCTGGAGCTCCCATTCTTCTCAAAGTTAGTCAGTTTGTTGTGATCCACACAGTCAAATACCTTTGCATAGTCAATGAAACACAGACATCCCTCTGGTACTCTTTGTTTTCTGTCAAGATCCATCTGACATTAATGATAAAGTCTTTAGTGCCACACCTCTTCTAAATCCAGCTTGTATTTCGGTAGTTCTCTGTCAATGTATTGTTCCAGTTGCTTCTGGATAATCTTTACTAAGATTTTGCTTGTATGTGATATTAGTGATAGTGTTCGATAATTTCAACACTCTGTTGGGTCACGTTTTGGGGGATAGGCATAAATATGAACCTCTCCCAGTCAGTTAACCAGGTAGTTTTTCTCCAGATTTCTTGGCGAACCTGGAGAGCTTGTCCAGGGTAGCATCTCTTTGAGGTTGAAATATATCAGTTGCTATTCCACCAATTTCTAGGACCTTGTTTTTTGCTAGTTCCTTTAGAGCAGCCTGAACTTCTTTCATCATCATTGCTTTGTGATATATGTTTTTTCATTAAATTTTTTTGTGTCAACCAATTATTTTTGGTACCTAACTCTGTGTACTCCTTCCCTCTTCTTTTAATGCTTTCTGGATCATTCAATATTCTGCCCATAGCATCCTTAAGTATTGCAACTCGAGGGTTGAATGTGTTCTTCAGTTCCTTCAGCTTAAGAAATGCCAAACAAGTTTGTCCATTTTGATTTTCCAACTCCAGCTCTTTTCACATTTCATTATAATACTCCGCTTTGTCTTTCCATGTGGTCATTTGAAATTTTCTGTCCAGATCCCTAATTTCTTGATTTCTTCCCTTTGCTTTGGTTTCTCGATGCTCTAGTGCAATATTCAGAGTCTCTCCTGACATTCATCTCAGTCTTTTCTTCCTCCTCTGTCTTTGGAATGACCTTTTGCATTCTTCCTGGATGATATTCTTGGCATCTTCCTACAGCTCATCTGGTCTTCAAGTACTTAATATACTCTATGTGCACACTAATTCATTTTCTTGACAAGACTCTTATCCTTGTTTATTCACACCAAAGCCAACAGCATGCTGGGTAACATTGTAGATGCTTCTAGTTTTGCCTTGGTAACATTTGTGAAGTATTTCTTCCATTGATGTCTACAATACGTCCTTTCTAGTAGATTCTCCTGGTCCAAGTATAAGTTTCACATAAACACAATCAAGTGTTTTGAGATTCCCATTCCTCTCAGAGTCAGACACAGTTTGTTGTGATCCACAGTCAAAAGCCTTTGCATAGTCAATGAAACACAGATAGACATTCCTCTGGTACTCCCTGCTTTCAGCTAAGATCCATCTAACATTAGTTACAATATCCCTAGTACCACATCCTTTTCTAAAACCAGCCTGCACTCTGGCAGTTCTCTGTTGAGAGGTTGTTCCAATTG